GAGAGGAAGAGAGAGAGAGACAGACAGACAGACAGACAGACAGACAGACAGACAGACAGACAGACAGACAGACAGACAGACTGACAGACAGACAGACAGAGAGACCGACAGACAGACAGGCAGACAGAAAAGAAGAGAGCAACAGATAATAGAAAATATAGGGGTTGGAATACAACTTTAAAAGCGAAGGGGAAGTGGGAGGGGTTGAAGCCACAAGCATGGTAACTGCACAAAGAAAAAGGAGACAGTCTTCGAAATGTTGAAACCATAGCTGGTACGGGATATAACATATCAGAGAAACCAAAAAAGAAAATCAAATGTACGACCTTTAAGGACACTGCCAACAACAGAACACGTGAAGAAGAAGAAGAAGACAAAAGGGACATAGACAAAGAAGCCTCGCTGGTACGAGATATAACCAATCAGAAACCAAATAGAACGCAGTTAACAGTTTTTAAAAACACCGCCAACAACACAGAACACATAATGAAAGAAGAAGAAGAAGAAGAAGAAGAAGAAGAAGAAGAAGAAGAAGAAGAAGAAGAAGAAGAAGAAGAAGAAGAAGAAGAAGAAGAATATGACAACAACAACAACAACAACAACAACAACAACAACAACAACAACAACAACAACAACAGCAATAACAATAACAATACCGGGCCAGCACCAACAACAAACAGACTACGTTCTATAAACTTCAATATTTGTTCTCCAACCCTCGCTTGCAACACATCGCCCTCAGGGTCTCCCTGAACTTGGTGTTGAAGTTGAAGTAAACCAGGATGTTACAGGCACTGCTCAGAATGACCACAGTCCGAGCCACGAAAAACGAGGCCAGAACTGAGTTGGAGTAACGGCCAAGGAAGCGGAACTCTGGCACAAACAGCCGGACTACGTCTGCCAAGATGACCACAGGGATGTGAGTGCAGATGAACGTCAATGTCACCAAAACCACCGACTTGACCACTTGTACGTCACGGGGAGTCAAGGTCTTTCCGTCAGGAGGTTTCGAACCAGAACCTTTCACCGATTCATATTCTTTGGTAGACGCTTCAGTGTCGTGTGTGCTTGAATCCTTTATGTTTTTGGTTACTTTCGAGGAGGATTTGGTGGAGTCGGCCTGAGTCTGACCCATGATTTTACGTCGCGTTCTGGCTGCAGATTTGAGGCTGATGATGAGGATGACGGTTGAGATGCAGCAGGTGATGAAGCAAACGTTGACATAGATGTTCTTAAACCCCAGAGAGTACACTGGCATCCACACCGTTCTCTTCGGGTCAAAGTAGGTCACAAGTCGGGTGACGTTTCTTCTCGGGTCAAAGCGATACCTCATGTCTTGGAGAGTGAGACTGGGGATGTACAAAACCACGATCGATGTGAAAGTGACGGACAACACAACGATCGTTCGGAACCTGGTGAACATTCCGCCGAACTGCAGAGGGAAAGTGACGCAGAAGCAGCGAGTGACCGCTATGTAGGTCGGGACGAAGACGGAGAAGTTGTAGAAAGGTTGCTTGTACCTGGAGATCAGGAGACCAAGCCCGAACATGTCCACGGCGTTTTGGAAAGACTTGGAGAAGAACTTTGTCGGGAGGTAGCAGGCGGTCTCAACCACGCCTGTGAGCAGAACGGCGAGGTCGGAGAACGAAAGGACGAGGAAGGAAACGCTCACGGTGTCTCGCACGCCCATCTTACAGAACACGCTCACGTTGATGAAGTTGGAGACAATCCCGAACAGAAGGGGCACGGGGTCTATGATGAATAAGATTACCGTGCGGACTAAGTCATAGTCCTCGAGGCTGATCAACCCTGGCAAACGAACAGATCTTGGCGAGGTCACTGTCGTCAAACTTGAGACGTTCACTGGCGGCCCTTCCATGGCCGGTTTCTCTTTAATGGTTTGTATTTCTCCCTTCCCTTTTGTTTTCTCTTTTTCTCTTCTCTTTATATTTCTCCACAGTTTGTTTGTTGTTGTTGTTGTTGTTTTTTTTTTGTTTTTTGTTTTTTGTCAAAGTAGATTAATTGAATGTCTGGTGAAGGCCGCAAACTGGGCTGTCCACCTGCCTGTTTGGTAGGCTTACTCGGACGTAAAAAGATCTAAGAAAAGTTTCGTCTACCTCTCCATACGTCAGTACTTCAGAGTTAGACAAGAGATAACAGAATTCTGGGAGCCAGACAAGAGGAGACAGAATTCTGAGCGAGGTACCAGCATTTTATTACCAGTCATAATAGACCTTCGGGGCAGATGATATTATTTATGTTTATGACATTAGACCAGTTTAGCGAACAGAGAATGATGGGATCAGATCGATCGAGAGTTTAGCTCTCAACTTTGTCGTCACGTCTGAACATTCAGTGACATTTCAGATTCCGTCGAGAACGACTCAAGTTAACCGCTCTCGTGTCTGTCTTGTCGTTGGTTTATAGCCTAGCGGTTGGGAGAGAGAATTGATCACTTCCCAAACTATCGGGTAATGTCGTCGTTTTTTTTTCTAATTTAGAGGTTACCCGACAGTCACTCGGATTGGAAGTCCCGGTTCTTTGTTCTCTGTTTGAGTTCTAATTGACAGGTTTTGGAACTGACAGATTTCTAATTGACGTAAGTACGCAGCATCGGTGTTTTGTTAATGGCTTTGTATTTACCGTCTATGTGACCTATTAGGAACAAAGTCTAAAGTCAGGAGCTTGGTAACAATATTTGCTCACATAGTTCTGAGACCCGATAATGAGATGCAAATTGCTCTCAACTCTGTCGTCTCATAGTTATAATATCGATTTCTTACTTTCAAAGAAAATTTAAAAAATCATTAGAGCTACCCGGTAATTACAAAGCACACACGATGAACTGAAAAGTAAAACCGTGATGAAATAATCGTAAAAAGTGGATTGTCCAGAGTACCAGCTACACAGGAAAGAAATAAATAAATGAAATTATTAATGTGATCTTTGGGATCCAGGGGAAAATGTCTTTCTGGTGAGGCGAATAGCAAAGTCGTTCTTTGATAATTAACACATACATAATTCTGTTCGCGGGTGAAGTAGAACACGTATAATTATCTTGAATTTAGCCATTAAAAACAGACATTAACTATTTATGGGTCTTGAATAATATTATGTTAGCCAAAGAGAAACTGAAGAAACGGTGACAATAATGAGACAACAGCTACAGAAAACCGTTCCGCCAGGAGAATTAAACTGTGTTTAGGGGCAATAAGAGGAAAGATAGGCACGGTCATTGTGTTTGAGTCTTGAAGGGTGTGTTAGCTAAAGAAAAATTGAATAAACTTTTACTAAAAGAGAGACGACTGTTGGCACTGAGTCCTGCCTGCATTTCATCAGTCTCGAGAGCCTACAACACCATGCACTCAGGCTACAAAGGAAGGGAAATCCCACGCAAAAGGTGGATGTAGGGAGTCAAAGAAACCCTGAGAAATTATAATATCGCGATTGAAAGAGCTACGGATCTAGCCTACCGTAGAAAACTGCATCTCCCCCTGGCTCTTAACGGTAACGGAGGATGATAAAGTAAAAGTAAAAGTCAGTAGAAGTGAGTTAACAAATCTGTCCTGGGTCGGAGAAAGGTGCCAAGACAAGGTCTTGTACAAAATCTGCAGGCGGGGGCTCGCTAGCAACACACTGGACTGGTCTGTAGTCTTTTCAAAACGCTTGTTTTGTTTGAAAAGAATGGCAATTTTACAGCATTTGCATCACAATTAGGTTACACACGTGACGAAGATTGGAGGTGTTACAAGAGATTAGCAAATGCAACAAAAAAAAGAAGAAAAAAAGAAGGAGAGATAACTACGACAACAGTTTGATAATGAAGAATGAGCAAACCACAGCAGAGCACCCTCGTCAAGATTGTTCAGTGACGTAATAGTATTATATAAACGTTTGTTAAATAGGCTAGTAAAATTATCTTTGGCTTACAATAACAAAAGA